CAGCCCCCTGTGGAGGGTCAGTGAAATCGCCTTGCTGAAGATGGGGGGAGAAGAGTCCCACTTCGAAGGGATGATGGAGGGGTTCTCCGGCAAAGCCGCAGATGAACTGCTCACCTCCCAGGAGATTTTACAGACTCCCCTCTCACCCATGGAAACCCAGCTCTCCCCTTCCCCTGCTGATGGCTCCGGTTTACAAATGAGTTTCACTGAGTCTCCGTGGGAAACGATGGAGTGGCTGGACCTCACCCCCCCCAGCTCCGCCACTGGGTTTGGTTCTCTCGCCCCTGCAGGTCCCAGCATCTTCAACATTGATTTCCTAGATGTTACCGATCTCAATCTAAACACCAGCATGGACCTGCACCTGCAGCAGTGGTGAGAGGGAGGGTGGTGGAGGCAGGATACTGTAAGCCCGCAGCAGCCAGCACAGTGTTTCTGTCATGCCGGAGAACACGCAGGGCTAATGTGCCTCATCTAAGGGAAACCAGAGTCATTTCCCCAGCATATAAACTTGTTTGAATTTCCAGTTACTGCAAATTGGCAGCACAACAGCTCTGGTACTTTGGTTTTCCTCCATCAACATGTCCCCACAGAGGACACCAGTGCCTTTCACAACACTTGTTTAGATTGACAAGAACTTCAGTTTTGTTTCTTTTATCTCCTCCCCTCCCCCAGTTTTAACAGTCACTCTCGTGAGAACTGGAGCAGCTTATGACAAAACTGTGTAGTGAGGAGACCTCACCTGGGTGGCAATGGGAAATCATGGAGAGAGGAGCCCATTGTTGCCCCCTCCTCCACTCCCTTCCCGCCCATCCAGCCCTGCAGACAGTCCTGCCTGGCTCACCTTGGCCGTGCCCAGCCCAGGGGCTGAGGGAGCAGGGAGGCTCTGCCCAGCCAGGGCGACAAGCACACTTCGTACAGCCAGGCTTGCCTGCTCCCTTCCTCCTGCCCCAAAGCTGCATTGCCCAGTCCCTGCACAGCTCTGCTCCAGGTGAGAGATGGAGACCACCATGATTGTGGTGGCAACTTGTCATGACCTCACGGTGCCTGGGGGCTGAAAGCCCAGGACCTGTCCCAACTGCAGTCTGAACTGAATCAAGCTGAAGCCTGTGACCTTGGAGCAGAGAGCTCTGGACGTTGGAGGCAGCCACTCAGGCTGTAGGTTCAGGTATGGAAGGGATGTGGCACCCCGGTGGAGCTGCCATGTCCCAGCTAGTGTGGCACAGACGAAGAGATGTGTAATGTGTTTTGTTCCAAAGTAGAGGCAAGTCACATAGAAAATACAGCCAGACTTTGGAAGGGGCTGTCCTTTGCACAGCCAGAAGTCACCACCTTGCATGACCTGGGAGCAGGGGGGGCCAGAAACAGGCACTCAGTGACCTGCACATGGGGCAGGGCTGAGCAGGCTCTTGCATGGCTGCAGTTTTGTGTGAGCGTCTGCTTTTGTTGCCTCCGCTCCTCTGCCATCCATCCCTCCGTCCTTCTTCCCATTCCTCCTTGATGCTCGGCAGTCATCCCCTTCTTCCCAAGTTTACTCCAGTGTCACTGTTCACTCAGCCCAGAGCAAGGCCATCTGGAGAACAGCTGTGAATCACTGAGCCTGGAGGAGCTAGTTCTCCTGAAGCTGGCAGAGATGGATGCTCTCCTGCAGTGATGCCTCCCGTTTGAAGTCACCAGCATTTCTCCTGTGAGTCTTTGTGCAATATACTTCCTCAGGCTCTGGCGAGAAGGTGCCTTTGCTTCACTTCTTGGCTTCCACCAAAGAACTTGCTGCAGACTCTTTGACAGAGACGTCTACTTCTTTGCAATTCTGGTTTTGCCAAAGTAAATATTGTTGCTGACAAAGATTGTTAAACTATTTACAGACTGAGCGTATTTAATATTTGTGTTACTGGAAGGACAGCACATCGGAGATGCAGCAGCTGGGGAGGAGGTCTGGCGTGAGGGGCCTGTGGGTAGCCCCCCCCCAGGGATGCGGGAGCTGTCGGAGGAGGCTCTGCAGCCCCTGCTTCGTCTCCAGTTCGTGGCGTTGTTGCATGCTGTATAAAGCACATGGCAATAGCTTTCAACTCACTATTTAAAGCACCACTTTTCTATTGTACAAATGGTCACAGTGCACTGCTAGGATAGACGATCACAGGTTGCATTTTTTTAAAAATAATTTCTTTTTCTAAGTGAGAGATATTTTGAAACTGGTCCATGGAGAATATTAATAGCACTTGAAAGAGTAGTGTTAGCTGCTATACTGCGTCATTGTACAGGGCTTTCCAGATAACTTTCTCCTCTCAGCAAATGTATTTCCTTATTTAAAGGGATACTGTCAGCTTCAGACTTGTAAGCAAGCACATTTCTTTACCTATGTTACCAGCAACACCTTCATTATTAAAAACCCCTTTGTCTTGCCACTCATCTGCTGGCAGTTTGCTGTTTGATTTTGCCGGCTGGGGCAGCCACAGCCCTCCCAGCTGCGACCATGCAGTATCAGCTCCATGTCCTGGGGCAGCTACAGTCCTTGCAAGAGCAGAAGTGTTTCTTTCACAGCAACAGTTTCTCCTGGAAGATTTCTAAACAAGCTAGCTGGAGTCTCCTGTTTCTGAAGAAGTTTTCTTCTATTGGCTTTGGTTTTACTTGTTCCCCTGCAAACCCTGCTCCTCGGGTCAGTGTCCCTGCCCAACCCCTTTCCGTTTTCCAGCAGCCGGGCTCTGGTGGTGGTGGGCTGGTGAACGCAGGGCACATGGTGGGCATGGGCAGAGCTCCCCCCACAGCTGAACCTCCTGCTGCCCACAGATGAGCAGCAGGGGCAGGAGGGAGAGCTCTCCGAGGGGCCCTGACTCCTTCTCCCCGGTACCCATCAGTGTCGGTTTCCAGATTCATTACGTCTTTCCTTTGACAAATGGTTCCCAGGACATTCACCCACCTATTTGCAGGGAGGGACTGCCTGTGTGTCCACAGCTGGGCTTCAAAGGTGAAACAATCCTGAGACATTGCAGAAGTGAAAAGATGTAGATGAAAAAACCAACTAGTTCCTATGATCATCTTTTAATCGCTAAACTACACTCTGCAACCAAACGTGTTGTAATAAACTGCCTGGACTGAGCCAAGTTATGGTTACTCAGAGAATGAGAAGATGAGCCTCAGTCCAGGGTTGTTTCGGGAATACTGGTAGACAGGAGCACTCACCCGTCCCATCTGCCTGTTGAGGAAAGCCTGCCTGTGGTGGTCAGCCTGCAGAAGAGGAGCTGGGAGGACATGTGCTGGCAAAGAGCAGAGCAAGCGGTAGAGGGAGTCACAGCTTCAAAGTGCAGGAAAGATGCTTGTCAGGTGCCAAGGTTTGGACCAGAGCATGTGGGGAGGTTGAGTCCAGACCAAGGCCCTGCTGTGGTGCAGAGGGAGGGTTGGACGGTCTCCTGGGGTCTCCTTCCAGGCCCCAAATGATGCCTGCAGCAGAGCTCCTCTGCTGCCTGGAGAAGAGCTGGGCTCACCTCTGCCCTGGCCATCGGTTTTCCAGCCCCACTGGAGGTGCCACTGGGAGAGCATGGGCTGTGCTGGCAGGACAGGACCTGCTCTCACCTCCCATTGCCTTGGCCAGAGAAGCACCTGCAAAGCCCCATCCACAGTCAGCCACCACCACAAAGCTCCCCAGAGGCTTGCTGGCTGAGCATGATCCTTGGGTCCCGTTTGGGAAGTGTTTTGGTTTCCTGCCCTCCCAGACAAGGATGCCAGAGCCTGACCCCACCGGTCACTGCAAAGCTTCAAGGATGTTCCCAACTGCTTTGTAACCCTGCTCCTGTGCCGTGGTGTCCTGCATCTCTGATCAGCTCTTGTCCTTCCTGGTACAACTTGTGTCAGAGCAAGGCCATGGATGCTCTGCCTTCTTTTGCTCAGTGCCTGCTGATGAACTGTACTCTCCATGCCCCAAAGGAGTTAGTGCCTTCAAAATGTCGGTGATTTTCCCACACAGGCTGTCCCAGGGGATTTAGGGTCCTGGGTTTTCCTTCCTGACAAAGCCTGGATTCAATGAAGGAAAAACCTCCATCACTGGAGGATTCCAGTGATGTCGCACTCTCCCTGGGCCTTCCTGCCTGAAACATACAGGAAATGTAAAGCAAAAAAAAAAAAAAGTTCCAACAGTCAAATAACATGTTTCATACCTTTGGCAAAGTTTTTAAATGTGAGACGCCTGGTTCAGTGCACCATCCAATGCTTTCTCCACAGGAGGCACTGAGATGTCAACAGCGTCTTTCCACCAGCTCCCAGGTCAAGGCAGACCATGGTTTACTCACAGTTTCCCCTCCCAAGGGACACGGGGAACATCTGCTCCTCAGCCCTGCTGGGCGCAGTGGGGGTGCCCTGTGCCCTCAGGTGTGTGCAGGATGCAGAGGCAGCAGAGGTTGGATCTCACCTGTGCCCATCGCAGACCCTTGCAGCACGGGGGAGCCCAAGAGCCCCTGAGCCCAGCACCACAGCTGCCAGTGCCTTCCACCACCACCCCAGCACCCTGTGACACCCACACCAGCACCCCTGGCATCCCTCACTTCACCCCAATGCCACTTCCGCACCCACAGCAGCCCCCAGCCCTCTCCAGCCGCCCACTGGCCAAGGGCCCCTTGGCCTCCTCCGACGCACGGGCAGCCCTGGCACCTCGTCACCCTCGCAAAGCCCCTGCTGCCCCCCACACCGGCAAGTACAGCCCCCCTGTACCTGCTCACCAGCACAGGACACACTCTCACCCCTCTCCAAGCACACTACCACCCACCTCCCACCTGGATCCCTCTGCTCATCCCTGGCCAGTTCTCCCAGAGCCTCCACCCCCCTCACCCAAACTGACTCGGGGGGACACACACCCCAGGGCCACTTCTTACCCATGCATGGACCCTCTGCACCCCCTTGATCTGCTGTCACCCCCATATCTGCAGCACCAGAGGCCACCAAGGAAGAAGGACTTCTGGCTGTGCAGGATGCACTCAGGTTCTCAGGGGGCTTCAGCATAGTTGACATCTGGCTTTAAGGCTCAGACACTTGTTCACACTGGAGCATTGGTAGTGATATGGCTGTATGGCCAGGGTTTTTTTGAGATCACTGAAGCTATCTGCAACATCTTGGCTTACCCACAGGAGGACAAGATGGCCTTCATAGGATGCTTTTTTTTTTTTTTTTTTTTTTAATCCACAGAACCCACACCCTCAAACTTCTACCAACTCATTGCATGCAAGCTAGGGACTAAGTTCCTTGTATAACGACCAGTTTATTACAGTCAAAATTTTGTGGCATGCAAAAGGAAACGTGTTTTTATACACAGTCGTGAATTTATTGTTAGTTTCATTAACATCTTAAGAGTTGAATCAAAACATAGTTTTAGTCCGGTTACAATGACACTAA